GTATTATGAGTCTATACCGAGCACTTATGATACTGACTTATCAATTTGATCTTTTGTCCATGTCCAAAGTTAACTATACCTATTTTCTATAATAAAAATATGAAAGTTATTTTTATTTATAATTTTATTTAGATTTTGTTAAGATATGTTTAACGGTTCTTATTTTTATATTTATTGTATTTTACATTTTCTTAATATCATAATATATTGAATATATTATTTAATTATGCTTTTCTCTCATTGGATATCCATTTAATTTTTCATTCATAATCAATTAATGGACGGCTTCTCTAATTACTGACCAGTTGTAAAAAACTTAATAAATTGATTCACTTCAGATTAGAATTGTCTATGATTTTTTTTATTCTGTAACACGACTTAAACTGGTTCGGAGTTTAGGTCTCTAGGGTTGCCAGCTCTTTGAATTTTTTTATTGATTTTAAAATTCGAAAATTGACATCTTTTTTCTATATTTCTAGTTAATAAATTATAGAGAAATATTCTTACTGTTGTGATTAATTTATTATATTTTAGTTGTGATAGGATATTTAAGGAATTTAATAATTTATTGCAAAAAATAAATCAACAGTGAAGAATTGGAACTATTGGAATTGGAATGACTGACCTACTCTGAAAGTACTTTTAATTAAAAATAGATATAAAAAATTAAATTACAATTCGTCTTCAGTCACAGTTCCTGAAGATATAATAATATGCGTAATAGACAAATAGTCGAAACGAGATACTCGTTTCAAAGTTTTGTTATTAGAAGTAAAATAGCAAAGCTAAACGACGAGAGCAAGCAACCCTAGATGACAGATTCGGCGGCTTTGATATGCGTCGTGTGATAAGCGGCTATTTGTTGATGTTATCGCGCATGGTTGTCGTAGTGTGTGCGCCCACGCACCGTACGGCAAACACACTTCGCCGTTTATGGAATTGCCACGTTTTACGAGCATCTTGATAATGTTATGTTGTTTACATCAATTTTTTTTTTGAGGGCAAATCTACAAAGTCGTGCACCGAAATGTTTATGTCAAATCAGGTGCCGGCCAAGATCTAATTTATTACGTACGACGTGACGGGGAGTTTTATGAGCCAGTCGACTTTATGCGTGTGCGAAATTTAAATATGGGTAAAGTTAAGATATGTTGTGTGTGATGTTAGTGGCAACAGCTACGGTCTGAGATCAAATCTCATCATCTTCATATCCTTATCCCAATTCCTTATTTAGGGTCGGCGTAATACATTTTTCTGTTTCATTCTTTTCTATTCGCAGTTATTCTCCTATTTACTCCCTTTTACCTATATCCTTCACACAATCCATTCTTGTCGTTTTAGGTCTTCCTCTCCCCTAATAATCATCCACATTCATACTTAATACTTTTCTTTACCAAGATCAAATCTCGTAATATTCGAATTTTAAAATTTTTTATTTGGGTCATTTAAAAAAGTTTGTTCTTTGGTTTGTGCTTCAAATAGCACGTAAAGGTATTCAACAAGCCACGCAACAACGGCGATGGGCTAGAAACTCTTAACACTAGAGGGCACTATAAACCTCCTTTTATCTTCCCACTGCTGGTCTTTCTCTATCCCTACCTAGATGTCATAACTTTAAAAATATTTAAAACAAAAATAACGTTGCCAGCCTCATTAGACAATAAAAGTACCAAGACCTCAGCGTGCGTAGGTGGCCGGTGTAATTAATTACTTCAAATATGGCTGTAATAACCATTACTAATGGCTATAAAAGAAAAACTTTAAGAAGTTCAGTTGTTGAAATGCAATTAGTGTCTATAAAATTGTTGCAAAGAATATTTATATATTCTTTATTGCGCTTAAACAATACATGCGTCGATTAGTTTAACAATTTGTTAGCAAGGGAGGACTTATCTCTGAAAGAGATCTCTTCCAGCTAACCCAGTGTAGTTAGAAAGAAAATAATTTAATTTGGGTAATCCAGTGCAGGAAAGGTACCGGTGAAAATAATGTAAATACAAAAAACACAAATTGTGAATAAATAAATAAATAAATACGTAAATAGATAAATATATATACTCGTACATATGTATAAGTGCATAGAATTATCATGTACAATTGGTTAAAAGGTGTTATTTCAGTCTTCTCTTGAAGGAAGTAATGGAAGGAATGATTATTTATTACTTAAGGCCATTTGCCACTTAGTTAGTTAGTTGGTTGCCGATAGAATTCAATGCATAATTAATATAATAATTGCAAGCCATAATGGAAGATAATAGGATACATTAATAAATGCCTCTTTAAATTTGTACCTTAAATAAATAGTATATGTATATTATTTTGCAAGCACAAATGAAAGTTTAGTATGTAAAAATATTTTTTTTGGGTCCTGAAACTAGGGAATTAATTGTAAGACCTTATAGATAGATAGATCGTTTATTTGTTTGTTACTAATCACACACAACATGTACATAAGAATAGATAATACATAAAACAACATAAGATTTATAATTGTGTTATTATGTGTGATCTGCAGCAATACAAAAAGGTCGAAGCTCAGCATGTAACATTGTTCAAGGAACAAAACACTGATTTTCAGCTTTAACCCATTTGAGGGTACGTGAAAATAATAAATAAAATAAATATAAAATAAAAAGAGTAATATTTTTGGTAATTGTCTGTGCGGTGTGTGTATAATAAAAATAATGTAAATAGTTCAAGAGTATAATTTGATATAATTTTAACTGAGTGGTAAGGATAAAGCGAAAAAAAAGAAAATATTAATAAGAGAAACATGGAAAAAAAATATTAAAAATCATTACATGAGTTTGCAACCGCTAGCCAAGAAATTTCTGTGGAATGCCTAAAATTTGTTTTTTTAATAAGTATTCTATGTGATGTTTTTTAAAACTTTGTACGGTAGTCAGATGCCTAAATGGTGGCCTAATGGTTATACAAGTTTAAAAAACTGTTACTCGAATAGCTATCAAGTTTTTTCACCTGTATGAGACATGAATTAAAGTTATAAGTATTAGGAATAGAAATAATTTAGCTGAATTTCCATAAATTTTTTTAACAAGATAAAATAATTATGTTTAGTTATTTTTAAATGATTTTAAAAGTACTTATAGATACAAATACATACATAATTTATATATTATATAAAGTTCTTTAAATATATTTATTTCATTATTATTCTAGACTCTATATTAGACTGTCATCTAATGTAGATGCATATCTAAAAAAAATGATAAAAAAAAAAGGTGTAAATTGATATTATTAAAAAAAAACTAGATTTCACACAAAGCCATCTCATGGGAGCCACCAACAGTCTATGGTAGACATAAAAAGATTTTCACAAACCCTACTAACAATACGGTAGCGTAAGTCAATAACGCTCTCCCCAACGTTATAGATAAAACAGACTACATAAACTAACCGTGTGTATTACAAATCCAATAACGCGGTAAATCATAAAAGCTATTCACCAAATTTGCTTGTAACAGAAGGGTGACTGCTATACACTACAGATTTCCCCTCACAAAACCATTAACAATGGCTGCTGACGATTTTTTCTGCCAATAATAAAATCTATGTGACATACGTACGTTAATTTTGTTTTAATACAATTCGTTTAATTTAGGTATATTAAAAAAAAGATATCAACGAAAATAATAATAGATAGATAGATACTCTTTATTGTTTCCTCCAAAAGATTACAATAGTAAACTTATTATAAATATAAATAATTACAAGAAATAATCACAATGAGAAAACAATGGGCGACCTTATCGATAAGAGCGATCTCTTCCATGCAACCTTTGGATGGAGAGGAGTAATTATAAACAATTTGGTGGGAGGCACTAATAATTTATTGTTAGATGAAATTTTACATACTGCTAAAATTTGCTAGTTTGCTAAAAATACTGGTAAGTAAATATTTTTCTTTTGAAATGCTTCTTAAACTATTTTCACCGTTAAATGAAATAATAATACCTAATTACTATTTGACGAGAGAAATCAATAGATACAACCTTGTAAACCTACAATGACGACGACCTCTATAAGTCTACATAAAGTTAATTTCTAATTATTTTTTCTTTTTATTTCTTTTATTTATTCATAAACAAAAATTTGTATTTGAATGTCATAGTAGATACAATAATTTCATACAGTACATAAAATATAAATTAAATTAAGCATAAAACAAATATTACAGTCACATGGAGTATATATATATACATATATATATATATATATATATATATATATATATATATATATATATATATATATATATATATATATATATATATATATATATATATATATATATATATATATATATATATATATATATATATATATATATTCAAATTTAATATATTTATAATTCGTCAATTGAGTACAGACACCTTTCTAGCAGTAACGACTTCAATTTTGTACTAAAGATCTTCGAATTATTAGTAATAAAGAAATGTCATACAAAACACTAATATCCTGGTGGTATCAGAAAACAGCCTTAGAGCACGCAGGACACACTTAAAAAATTTCATTTCATAAGTTGGCCCGATCGAAATTAAAATCTAGGGTCACAATTATGCAAAAAAATATTGAGATCATTGGATATCATGGGATATCCATAGATATCTAGGAATAATCCTAGCATGATTGTCTTTAAAGTAAACAAAGTTTTGTTTGAGAAATCAGTTCAGAGTACGATAGGACTGATATATCTGAAGAAGGTAAAAGCCCTTAAAATAATAATAATAAAAAAAGATTATATTGTATTAAAAAACAGTAACTAAGTAGTTACAAATTGTCTAGTCTTCAAAGTTAAGTTAGTAACCTTATGTTGATTATTAGCTCTTTGCAAGTTAATAATAAACTTTCTTGACGTTTAAATTCAAGAAAATTTAGTAAATATTAAAATCGAAACAGTCTCAGGATCAAACTTCAGAAGTGTTTAAGTAAAAAATATTATTTCGTACTAGATGTAATGGTTGTAATGGTATACTTACAGCTTCAGCTGCTTCTTTCTGGTCCTTGTGTCCCATCAAATTGGGCATCACAGTCCAGTTATATCTTAAATCCTGGCACAGTGGCAACTGGATCCTCTCGCATTTTCCACCTTCGCTCTCCTCCTGGGCAGCAGCCACTAGCCACGAACAGAGTAAAAGTAAAACAATTCGTGCCATTGTGATTAAATATTCACTGTATTATAACACTGTTTTTGTATGTCATAATAGCAGACTGTCACAATATCACTGTTAGTAAACACTGATAATTCGTAAACATATTTGTTCCTTTTTAATTCCAAGCGAACGTATTCACCCGTCTGTGGTTCGAAGCAGACTGATTCGAATTTCGAACGCGGTGCGGCATTACAAAGGCAAAAGAAGAAACCGGTCGACCGGCCGGTGCATTCAGAACATGCATATGTTCCGATAAAAGGTCTGAACGCATGAACAGGGCATTAAGAATAAAAAGAAAAAAAGAAAAAGGGCCTAATTCGTGTACAGCTCACTGCAATCAGTGGAAGTAATTTTAGCTATCTCGCTTTTGGACAGTTGAGAGAAAAGGACAGGAGAGACAATGAAGAACGTATAAAATTAAGTGTATCTGCCCATGGGGATGGATTTTATTTTACAAAATTGCTGCAATAAAAGTGTTGAGTAATTGAGAGGTTCGAAAGTTTTATTACATAGTTTTAGGACGGACGTATCTAAACCTACTCAAAATAATAGCATAGATCCTTATAGAAGACCATGGGAATTTAATCCAAAATCCAAAGAACATAAGTAAGAAACAAACTTAATTAACCTATGGTGTCTTATTTGAGGAATTTAGATTTTTTAGCTCCACCGATATTTAAAAACATGTAGTTTCGAATTTGTGACATTTATCACCAATGAACCTAGTTTTAGAGACACTAATTAATTATTTAACGTAATCTAAAGAAACCCGACCATTATTAGCACGTTTATATATTCATAAAACCCTATAAAGGAAAGTATGATTTTGTCTCTAATTTATTTACAAACGCTCACACACTACTACTAAATACAAAGTCCTATTTGATGGAATAACGAAATTGAACTCATATTTCAATGCCTTTAAGTTGAATATTGTTATCTGTGAAATGAGATATTTGAAATAGAATGTACTCGTAAAAATATAGAGGACTGAACTTGTAAGGCGCGATTCATAAGCTTTCACTTCTATCAAGGTCGATCAGTTACAGCAAAATTTTTCACAAGCGACTCTGTGTAAAGATTCTAAAAACTTAATATAGTAATTTATGAATTAATCAACAATTACATTGAATAATTAAGCATTGGATCATACTGTCTGATATGTCTGATGATCTGTGGTGATATCAAAATATATTTATAAAGATGATAAAGATAGGCATTTGGTGATCATCAAAATCTCGGTGCTCTTAGTAAACAATTGTTTACAGCCTTGTATAATGAACTTGATAATGATCTTTTGTCTCAAAATCACGCATATTAATAAAGGAACCGAAACAATACTATCTTTGCGTCACGCTACACTGAATATGCGAGTGAGATAACTGATAGGCCCTTCCGCTCGTGCTTTTATCTTTTGGTCCGGCATCCCAAGTAGAATACACAATTAGGCCCCTTCATTACATCACTCCAATAACACCTTTAATATCCATAACCCGACAAATCAATAGAAACCTTAAAGCTGCAAGCACAGAAGTTAAATTTGATGGTATCGTAATATATCTTTCTAAAATATCTTAACCATCGTAAGTTGGTCTCATGGATTAAGGGACGCCATTTGATATTGAAAGGAATCGAAAGTTCATCGTATATTGGAGAAATGGTATGAATAGTTGCATTGTAGGAGTGGGACGGAGCGAGCCGCCGTCAAAGACGCCGCTTGCAGTGCGCGTACGCAGGCCGGACGCCGGTGGAATGCCTAATTAAGGACGCATGCGTGGACTGTAGGGTGAAGTGGGTGGTACAGATATACGTCAAAAGCGGTATATTATGTTCAATCATTGCAAAAAAGTTGCTCTTAATCAACAATATAGAAAAAGAAATTACAAAAAGTAAAAACAAGTAAATACTCTAATAGAATTACCTACTATTGTACATTGATTAAATGGGAGATTGTGGAATAAAATGGATGAAAGAATTGAGGAAAACGGAAAAAGAGAGAAAAATGGAAAAAATCAAAATAATGTCTCAAAAACAAGAGTTGTTCGGAAATATTTTTGATGCATGGGAAAAGAAAATAGAAGCAGTTGCAAGTATGCAAAAAAGTGAGAAACAAAAGAAAAGGAAATTTGTTCAAAATCTAACAAAGAAGATTGCGAGGCGAGACGCTGTGACGTTAAAAGCTAAACGCTCCTTGAAGAAGACTTCCTCATGAAGTCGAAACAATTGTCGGAAACGACAAAAACGCAGCGAGTTCATTAATCTCCCGTATTTACATAAACTTTGACAAAAAAAAAAAAAAAACGAAAAAACTTTAATGTTCTTACATAGTATTGGTTTAGAATAAAAGTACTTAGCTCTTGTTTTTAGGGAATATTCAAATGACTTTTATGTCTTTGAGTTAGCGTCCGCTACCCGTCTGTCTTGAGACCACAATCCAACCATATACAATTCGGAATCGTAATTAAAACGTCAGATATCGCGTTTTGCGGGTACGATGGCCACTGACGCCACGACGATGCAAATTTTATATTGTTTTATACGTGAACCCAATATATATGAATAATCTGTGTGCATGAACCTGACCAACTTTGAATAATGATTGAAGAAGTCTCATTGATTCGCCGACTAATTGGCAGTCACTGTGATATGTCGTTGAGTTATTCTTGACTTCAAACAAAATGTGCGCTTATAGGTGATGTCATTTTAATAAAATAAAATAATTTATGGTTGGGAATGTAATGTTAAATATTGCACAATAGTAACTTTGGATGGGAATGAAATTAGAAATAAAATAATTTATGAATTAAATTTTAAATTATTTACCAGAGGGAGACTTTGTACAGAAGTCGTTTGCTTGGGTACCTCTATCCCACTCAAGAGCCTTTCTTTCCCATCGGTTGTCGATTCGTCGAGCTATATAAACAGCTAATTGCTACTTCGCCTTGCTTATCCTTGACCATTTATATATAAGTAAATTGCTAATGAAGGTTTAATGGAACTGACATGTCTTTCAAACACAGAAGCTCCTTAACTAAATTAATAGTAAAAATAAAAAAATAAAAACTTAGCGTCTTATATGTTTACTATTTTGTTCAATCCAAAGTCCAAGGTAATGTAAATTTGTTGTTTCCTGGTCACATCAAAATCATCCAATTTGTTCTATGTCTTAAGTTAATTAAGGTCCGGGTAATTAGTATTGAATTTCAAGTTGTCACATTTTTTGTAATAAATAATATACCTAGCATCTAGATACCTTACAAATTCTTCTGGACATGGATGGCGGAAAATGGTCATCACCTATTTCGATATCGCCTATATCGAAATAGGTGATGAAAATGTAGTATAACAGGTCATAGTTTACAATCCTACTAATTTAATAAAAGTTTGTAAATATATTCGAATATTTATATGTTTGTTACTAAATCACGCCGAAACACGTTTTGAACGGATTGGAATGAATTTTGGTAAACGGCTAGTCAATTATATCTCAACCTAATAATTAATAAACTGATTCGTGTGGGCAAAGCCATGGGAAATGACTAGTTTACAATGATAAATGATGTAGTCTACAATGACAATAACTAAGCTTAAAAAATTGTCTTTGAAAATTCATTATAAAAACTTGTTTGTTTGCCTCGAGCGTGTGGCTAATATAAATTGGCATTGTCATAATAAAAGGTCACGTAGGGATGAAATATTAGTTTTGTTGACGTTCTTAACATTACACGTATCATTAGGTGACAATAAACAGAGAGAATGACGGTTATTAAGTGTATGTACGTATTTGGAACATTAAACAGTGGTAATATTTATAAAGAAATGGATCTTACATTGAACAATGAGAAAAAAATGTTATTAGCACTTAGAGAATGCAACTGTTCAGAGTTCTGTAGGCCTACCATGAAATGATTTCCGAAATTTCGGAGACGAACGAAACAGAAATTTGATGTCAAAATTACATAATACATGCCGTTTAAAATTATTAAAAATGTTAAAATATCGTTCCCCTGGACTATTAGGATACAATATATGATGAACGAAATGTTAAGCTCCATTTACTGGCTCGATTTCGGTACGAACAAAAACACGAAATTGACCCGAAAATTCGGAACTTCATTTCATGGTAGACCACCTTAATACAGTAAAAATATGATTATACCTTGGAAATAATACAGTAGTAATTATAATATAATATATTAAATGTAACATCTTATAGTAAACAAATTCTTAATAATATTATAAATGATAAATAAAAAATTGTTAGCTTTTGGCGGATAACGACTTACAAGTTGTTACATATCGTCATGTAATTTGAAAGCGTCATAGGCTATTTTTTGACCCGGTCAGTATACCTATCTTGGTCATGCGAATAAAGTCAAGGGTAAAAACTAGTATATTAGTTCATTAGATTATAGTACATATCAAGAAATTTTTATTAGCTGTATTTCTTTCGTTTATATATGGAAGAAATGCAGCAAATTTATTTGGAACACGAGTAAATTACCAAATATCCGAATGTAAAAAATATCATTTTTTTTCAGTCGCTGCAGTTCGATGAATTAATCTATTTATTTATTCCTATATTGACATTAAAAAAAAAAGTTTGCTACAAAAGGCGGACTTATAGCATTCTCTCCCAGTCAACTTTTGGAAAAACAGAAATATGATTTATAAAAATTTACCTTTTTAGTTAATTTTTAACTTTCGCGTTGTTTAGACATATTTTAAACACACACAATCGGAACTCACACAATTTACCTTCTTATTTAAAAAAAAATTGCATCCTTCAAATCTATTTAAACTATTGTACTGCTTTGTTGCTTAGCAAACTTTATGTATTTTTCATAAGCATACACAATTTAAATCCGCGTATTAATTATTATTCTTGTAGTAAATTTTCCGAAGTATATCATACAGTCTCCACTTCATAAATTACAAAATTAGACAAAAAGAAAAACTAAATGTAAAATTTCACAGTAATTATTTATTTATTCGATAAAAATTCAATCCGATTATTTAAAATTCACATATTGTTACAACGGTGATATTTATAACTCGATGAGTTCGAAATGTTGAGTGATTTTCAATTAGGAATCACCTATTTTATGGACCTCTATTCAAAAATACGCAGTGTTGGTGGTCGCCGATCGCGTAGATAGGAATACTAATGGCCCAGTATAT